GACGGACGACGGGCGACGGGCGACGGCAGATATGGAATTCCATACATGGAGTCACATGTACAACTGTATACTTGTATTAATGGTTATTTGGGCTCCACATGTGGCAAAAACACTAAGTACGTAATAAATAAACTCATTCTACTCAAACCATAGCTGGTCATTTTCTTTAACCACATAAAAACATAAACGGCTGCTCATTAATCAAGGTTGGTGTACGTGTATTGTTCCATGAAGTTTACATGTATTCGTTGTCAATTAATTACTGCGAACCGCTGACTCTGGACTTGTGTCAAGGGCTGTTAAGGAGTAAACACCTTTCTTCTGTGATTCAAGACAAGCTGTTTCCAAGGAGTCCTTTGTCAGGGTTTACAATTCGAATTTTTTCTTGTGTAACTTTTTACATTAATAGCTTCTGGTGAGACAGATCTCCGGAAAGTAATCAAAGAAGCGGAAAATATCAATTTTACGGCAAAGGATAAATTATAAAAACTGTCGTTTTTTTACCTAATTTTGTGTCTAATTTTCACAATGACTGATGAATCGTTTGTATCCATCAGTTTATTTCTTCAAGATCAAGAGCCATTTGTCTGAAATGCGGTTCGTTTTTCAGGCGGAATCAAACTTCCGCACTGAATCCGACAGCGGTCAAAAATGAGATGTCCGGATTTTTGGCATAGCTTACACTTAAGTACGCACATCCATGGATACGAGTGTGGTTTTGGTACGAATTGACTTTTACTGCATTGCACTAATACGTACATAATGACGTCAAATTGCCCGACTAAAAGGCACAAAAAAATTCTGTTCTCATTCATACGCTTTCCTTCTTTCATGACACTTTCTCATCAGAGTGTTCATGATATTTCTCACCATTCAAAAGGGCAGAAATGTCAAGGAAAACCCGGCAAATTGAAAAATTTCCCTCTAAAATGTTGGCTTCACCTCCAACTTCTACTTCTGACGCTGTTACTTTGGCGGTAGGGCTTACGTGACAAAGACGGGCAGAAATTTGGCCGAAAATGGATTTTTATAGTGTGCAAGTTAGCCAAAGGGACCTGATTGTTTAAATTCTAATCGGTATGGAAACGAGGGGCAAACAACTATATCTGAGCCTGATGTTGATCGATTACTTTTGGGGTCCACGTGCCTGAGTCAAAAGCCATTTGACCAGTTTTTGGCTGTAGTAAGATTCAGTACGCATGCGCACCAACTAACTGCAGGGGCATGCACATACGTGCCTGCTTGCTGCATGATGTAAATCAGGTTGTTTTTTAAGCCAATTGGGTGCTTGGTATGGCATGAGATACTGACACCATTTATTAACGACAGGTGTGAATGTGCGTCCTTATAGCATTTGCTGACCAGGTTTTGTAACGACTTGATGCCCACTTCATTAGACAAGTGGTCACTCAAGGGTCACTGACTATCAGCCTTCTTGGTCCCCTCCTTTCCAAGCCTCTTCACCTCCTGCCTCTACCCCCACAAACTCTGATTACACCTACCACCATCTCTACGACCGTAGTGCTGAAATAAAGGAGATTGAATTAAGCCTGAAATTCATGCATGTGGTCAAATCTTCCAACATTTTGATATCGTACTTCGAAATTCTAGCTCTTTGTGATACCACTCCCATTAACCCTAACAATCTTAGATCTCAAATTTCAGTGAACCATTTTCACACAGTTTAGATGATAAAAGGATGCATGACAGTTTGAGATTTATTGATTCGCATAGTAACACCAACTTGAAAATTTGTGGGTTTTTTTGGTTGGTTGGTTGGTTGGTTGGTTGGTTGGTTGGTTGGTTGGTTGGTTGGTTGGTTGGTTGGTTGGTTGGTTGGTTGGTTGGTT